TACTAAATGCTAATAACATTGTAAGTGAACTATTTGAAATATTTTTAAAATTTAATAATTAATTTTTAAAATGAATACAAAAGATTTTTGCAATATTGCGCAAAAATTTAATTAACAAGCCACAAAACCCGATATATTGATACTAAATTAAGAATGAAGTCTACTAACAAATAATGAATATCTTTTGTTATTTTTAATAAGAAATCTTTTTGATTATTTTCATTCTAATATAAATATTTGAAATAATTTTTAATAAAATAAATTTATGCTTTTAGCTGTTGAATTTTGTTTATGTTCAACACTTCATATTGGTTTTATATTTTTAAATTTTTCGCCGCACGTCCATAAACAATTTTTACATTTTAACTGATTGTTAAATAAATAAACTGAACACTTTTTATATGAATTGTTATTTATATTCTTTTTTTTGCACATGTCTTTTTGTATTATAGAAATATATAGTTTTACATATAAATAATAATATAATTTTATCTATTTTTTTTACTTACGTATTATTTATTTAATTAGATATTTGTAAAGTAAGTACTATGTTGAATCTGAAGAAAGATATTCTTATATAACAATATAATAAAACTTAAAAACAAGTTTTGACAGAAACTTAATAAAAGAAAATGTTGAGATAAAAAACTAGAAAAATCTGAGATCTTAAAAATATTATAGTTAAGTTAAATATTGCTGTTAAACAGTGAGGATGGTGATGATTTTATTGATGAGGATTTTTTAAAAGTAGCTTACTAAAGGTTACACATTCATTCTGTTTCTTAATTAAAAATATGGAATTACACTAAACAGAATCAAAGTAGATACTCCTCTTATACTGTGAGGTCTCAAGTTGGCAATGCTTTATCGCATACTTTCAATACCTGCTTTTAAAGAATAAATTGAATAAATTAAAAATTGGATCTGTTATGTAAACTAATTTTTAATTTTAATAATTTTTAATATATATACTTTTGATGAATATGATTCAAATCGAATCCGCTTTAAGGATATTTGCTTAATAAATGTTGCTTAATGAGAAGCACTCATATATATTTCCCAAATTTAGCATATTAATCTTCACAGTTTTATATACGTTACCATAATAAAACTAAATTGATCATATGATTGTACATATATTATAAGTTAAGGATATTATATATGAACCAAAAGCACATATAACATATAATGTGCTTATATATATCTATATATAAGACTTCTACTAAACAATATATTTTATAGTGTGTATTACATTTGTAGTGAATAAATTTAAACTTAATAACATTACACAAAATTTTCTGCTTAATTGATAATTTTCTATTTAACTTCTATGATACTACTCCAAATGCTGGCAGTTAATACACTTTAATGAACTATTCTTGACTGCACTATCCTCGAAGCAGAGGAAATTTTATATAGAAGCTGAATAGCAATCTTGAAGATCTATAATAAATACACAATAAAAACACAAAACTAGCTTAACAGGTATGAATTTGACTTCAATTAAATAGTCCATAACCACTCTTCATGAAGTAAATTGCGTATCTGATAGGCACACGTATTCAGTGCTATTTGACTATGGTAAATATATTAGAGAAAGTCTATTAAAAAAAGTTTTATAAAAGTAAATTTGGTTAGCTGTACCACAGATTATTTGAAAATTGCAACGAATTACTATGCACAGTAATAGAATGGAACCTGCAACCCATTATTGCATTACTAGTAATAGGTCAAAACAAAGATAAATGAAAGTTTTTGTTGATTAATGATTTCACTGAAAAATGTAAATTCTAATAAAATATAATATATATTCTAATATAATATGCAATTATAATATCAAAAAAAAATTTTTGTTACAGAATTTTTTTTTCGTTTTTATTATATACTTTTAGAGCAGTTACCTAGCACTATTTCACTTTTGTTCTCCATTTTTTTTAAATATTTATTTTCTAATAATTATTGTTCTTTGCACTTTATTTCAAAGCACATATTTTTTTGAATTATACTACGTTATGAACTATGTACAAGCATGAGAGTAGTGAAGGTACTTAATTCACAATTGACATGAATTGCTTTTAGAAGAACAATTTATACGAACTATGATATTTTCAATATAGGTATGACTTAACTACTTCAGTAAATGTTGTTGAGTATATAATTTTTTCTCTATTCATGAATTCCTAAAATGAATTTCTTTTATGGTTTCTTTTAATTTTATATTAAATTACATTGTTTAAAATATTTTGTGTAATGAAACTTTCAATAATATTTTAAACTAAATTATTCAATTTTTAAATTTTGAACTTTACAATATTTAATTTAATCCTTTGAACTATATTTTCTGTGTTATTAAATCAGAGAAATCAACATTTCATATTGAGAGACAAAAGCAGAGTTCTCTACTAAACTTAATCTTGCTAATCCGATATTAAATCCTTTGTTCCATGGACGAGTTTACCCATTTTTATTGTGTTCCCAACACAAACAAGTAACTTTTAAACTCCGAAGCAAACATACAAATACAATTCTGTG